GTATCAGTCATGCTTAGTGATTGATTACAATCAATCAATGTATAAATATAAATAAAAACCAAATTTTGTTTGCAAGATTGCATGTCACTATTTTTTGCTAAATCATTTCAAATAACTTATTCCTTATGGTTCCTTATGGGTTGAGTTTTCGATACAAATAGTTTGAGTTTGGATGATGATGACTTTGAAATACGTGACACTAATTTTAATGAGCAGAGGGTCATCCCATACTGAGTCACAGTGTCATTATTTAATTTTATTTGATAATTACGTGATTGTTTGAATTCTCATGAGGATAAATGTCGCTTAAGTTTGGTCAAAGGGAAACGAATCAGAGTTGGGACTTACGATAAGTGTGACTCCTGTATGTCAAAAACGTTAGTATTTGCAAGGTCTCTTACTTAAAATGACAAATATAATTAATTTTAAAAATACTATGATAGAATGTGCTATATATTAAGTTTCTTAACATCCAAACAAATTGCTTATGTCGAGTCAAGTATTGCATATAGTTAATTAACCCATAAGTTATTGGCCCAAATTGGGGTATTTGACCGTTAAGTTTTGGCCTTAACCGTCGAACAATCTAGATGATTTCGTATTGGCTCGAATGGTATGGTGAGAGGAATTTTGCAACCGCATGGCATAATAATGTAGGGTGTGCATTCAGTTTTCTGAATCATTACGTACTATCCATTATATTCTCTGGTATAACTATTGACATTTAAACACTTGAAACAACAACCTTGGACCTACTGGAAAGAGATGTTTAGGACGACAAAAGAGATAGACAGATGAGGTATTAGAATTGGAAGAAGCTTTTACCCTAAAAAGGGCTATACATATTCTAGAACACTAACAAAACCAACCAATTAGAACTTGTACTCACACCTTTACTAAGTAATGTAAAGTCATCTATATATATAAAAATGTTATGTTGGTTTGTGAACGCTTCAAAAACTCAAAAAGTTCTGCACCGATCGAGCTGAAATTTTAGCATGATATATAATCTGCATCAAGAATTGTTTCTTATCATTATTTTTTTCCACAAGTATTGAAAAATCAAAGTTATATGAAATGTTTTCTTTGTTTTGTTTCTCATTTCTCAACCATTCAATTACAATGTGGCACAGCGAAGCTTGGCAGGGAACAGCTAGTTAGTAAAATTTTAATAATATTTAGTTATAATCTGATTTTACAATACATAGTCTATGACATATGTTTATATGTACAGTATATTCGCGCTCGCTTGGACCCATGCGATTTCTTCAATACAAAGAGTCCCCTCGTGAGTTGTGTCCTGCGATATTGCGGGCTTCTCGATTGTGAGGAAGTTGCATGTATCTGGTCTTGCGCCTTCTTAAGTTCTCTTGTTATTATAACACATGTATATCCTTCTAAAGCATATCATCATGACCGTAGAACAATGTCGGGTTTGAAAAAAATTCATGTGTTTAAATTTCAAATTAATCAGTCGGTAAAGTGACGAATTTGATAGACGTACGCTCATAGAAGCATGTGATTTTTCTATATAACAGTGTAATTTAATGTTATTATTTTTATTTTGTTTCAAAACAAATCCTTTTGTTTGCTTGTATGCCAATTTTCATAATAACAGCATATGAATTAAAATAGTTATAACAAAAACTAACATGATTATATTATTTTAAAATGGCTGCCCTGTAAAGTTTACTATTTGCGCGATCCGTCACTATTCTACGACTATGACGATATATTCATAAGTATCTGATTGTCCTCCTATGTGTAATGTTTGAAAGCAAAAATAAAATAAAAGCTATTTATTCATATTCATTCAAAATGTTATCAACGATTCTTGAGTATATAAACTAAACATTTAATATATATTATACTAGCAGACCGGCCAAGCGTTGCTGTGGCTAAGGTTTTTGTTATATTACATAATAGCAAACTATTCAAGGGAAACAGTAGGAGAACACCAGTCATGGGGACCACCATGCTTTGTTGGTGGTTATGCCATTAAATTGTAGCTTATGTGAAACGTTGGTACTTTCAACACAGCGCCATCTGTTAGAATTGTGACTATCAAATAATAAACAAATATTTTGCAATAAAATAATATTGCGGGTATAAATTGAGATTTAAGCTATCCTATCTTTTAAGTTGGATCAAACTACACACACGGTGTGCAAATTTGATTGATATCGGTTCGGTAGTTAAGGAGTCTATAACGGACAAACAACGTGACACGTAATTTATATATATTAAGATAACGAAGGAAACGTAAACGATCAAAGTGTTGACAAATTTTGATATATTCATAAATTAATCGTTTAAACGATCGTTTCTTATAATGTCATTTGAGCCTGTTACAATACTCGATATCAGAAAGGTCTAAATACTTATACAAAGTTTACTTAATACAATTAGACATGAAAAGTAATGTCTGAAGATTCAGATGAATATCAGATTAAAATGCCGGCAACGCACTCGCGAGCCCTCTGGCATTGAAAGTGTCCATGGGCGGTATCACTTAACATCATAAAATAAATTTAAAAAAAAAGTACTTAGTTTGTCGTACATAAAAAAATGACAAGATTAATAGCTTGTCAGACAAAAATTGAAACTCCCTAAACCTATAATTAATTAACCTATAAAGTATAAGGAAACAACATTATCTTATTCGTAAACAGTTTAGATCCGGAAGACATACCTGCATGTTAAAACAGCTATGCTAATTTGTATTACCCATGATTCATTAAAAATATCGAGATCAAAAGTTAAGTATAAAGTTCAAAACGTAGTTTATACTTTAAACGTTTTAAGTATTCGTGTACCTAGTTTTTGACAGCTCAAACTTACCAAACTATTTGCATACTACACATACAGAACATTTAAACTTGGCTGTATCTACTGAGGAACCAAGTTTAGGCCAGTAGCACCACGCTCTATTCTTAAAGCGGCTATGGCAATCAAACTATTTAATCAACAACTCCAGGGCCGGATTTAGGGTCTGGTGGCCTCGGGGCAACAAAGGAGTGGAGCCCCAAATTATTTTACAAATCAAATTAAATATTTTTTTCAGTCGATTCTTTCAATCAATAGTTTATTGTGATTCTTTTAGTATGTAACTAACATATAAAAATATAAATACAGATCAATGATTTCTCTTAATATAATCATGTTTGTGCAAAGGTAAAGGTAGCAGCGAAAAAAAAAATATAAAAAGAAAGTTGTTTACTACTATAGTAAATTTTTTGTTTTTTCGTCATCTATTTTGGGGGCCCCTATTATGTGGCCCCGGGGCTGTAGCCCCTAAATCAAGGAGGAGACACCGTGCTTTTATAATACGGCGGAGTTCTTACATTATAACTTCTGACACTGACGTATATTTTGACATTAAATTTAAACTATTTTTAATTATAATTTGCCATTTTCATGTCTGTGGGGTATTTTTATATCCCTATAGACCACTTTCTTTGCAAAAAAAGGAATTAATATTTATTATTGTATTCGAACGATGCTTCCAAATGCCAAATGTCCAGTAGCTTTTGTTTTCCATACATAAACCGATGTCACTATTACGATACTTATTGACTTTTATATAGATGTCTGTAGACCAAAAACGGTGATCAACTGGCTTTAATCGTTAAAAATATGACATTACAACTATCATACAATTAGAGATAAAAGAAAAACCTAACTTAGCTTATTCAAGAGTTCTTAAATCTTAGTGACACACACTTATGGAAACGAGAATGTTATATTACAATTTATGAGTGTGGGGAAAAGCTAAAGGTCTTGGCTTCAAGTATGCGATGATTTCTTCTAATTATTAACTAAATATATGTATTATCTTTTATTTCATCGGAGGAGATATACAGTTGCCTTCGGAACCTCTGATATAGTAAAGGAGAATTATTCAAAACAAAAGAAGATCGACCCCCAACCAGACGTCCTCACCTAACTATATGTTTTTATAGCCGCCCAATTTTCGGTGGTTACACAAAGAATGCTCCTAGCAAATTTGATCACGGAACTGCTAATTTAAACGCATCGACATGTAACCCTTCCAAGGTTAAAAGAAATTTCTTCAGTTATGAATATGCACATCGCTATAGGCATTTTATTAAACCAAGGAATAATCCTTGCGTCTTAAAAAAAAAGATACGAATATTGCGAACTTTCGTCATAGCAAACTTGTTCCATACCCTGATCAGGAATAACGAGAATGTTGAGTAATTAAAAGTCCAATTAGGCTGATTAATAATTAAGAAGAAAAAATAAAATATCACAACGACATTGAGTAAATCCCCACAAAGAATAGAGCGAGTGGAGTATGAGATCAGCTTTGCATGACTAACGGCCGCTTTTTATACTTGATCTATAATCTATTTCCAATCGAGATTTTCGCAAATTTAGATTGATAAATGTCAAAATTCGAACTGTCGAATTCAAAGATATTATACAAAAACGATCCATCGATCGGTTATTGAAAAGTATTTTATGAGAAATGGATTGAAATATCAATCTCTAGTATTCATTGGATTGGGATTGAGTATAGAGCGGCCGTAAGCCGAAACAAAGATTCGCCGAGAATCGAACGCAAAAACTCCGGATAACTAAGCTACGGAGGAGATTGTCTAACTAAAATGATTTGTTTAACCGTTTCGATAATAAACCTATTTTTTATATAAACATAGATTATAAAATTGAATTATTATGACATGAACAACTTTTTTATTTAATAGATTTTGTAACTGTTGCCTCATCTATAATGCTTAAATTTATATTCTACGACTCGTCCGCGAATATTTACGACTGATTTTCTTTGTTGTGATCGTGAGACAAATACTATAAGCGTATTAACCAAAATTACACAATTCCGATCTTTAAAAACTATCATTGTTTTTACTACTTAAATTGTGCGGTAGCCTATCTACCGTCAAACCGAAAATCAGTTGAAAATCTTTTGACTAGAAAAAAAACAATTTATTAACACAAATTATCTGATTTAATTATTATAATAACTTACGTTTCGGCTGTCGTGTAATACGCCCTTTCTTTCGCCTCTCGAACAATCTGTTAATAATGGCATCCTTCCGTTCATTAAAGTCCAACTCATCGTATTTATTCAAGTCCTCACACTCCGAAAAGTTTGCTTCAAAATTCACTGACTCGATATTTTTCAATCTGTTATTTGTAAAGTCCCTTAATTCCCGCTCCGTATTCACAGCATACGGTCTTCCCGTAACACGGCCCCAAAGTTGAACTATATCCTTCATTTTACGCACTAAGCATAACGCGGACGGATTTTTCCAGTACACTAATGTCTTTTTTAATTAATATAATCGCATATGATTCTGTAATATTCGTAATAACACGGTTTTCAAGCGTTTGTCACGATTACACTAAACACATAAATCACAAAATAAGAATCACGTTAATTTATTAGCTGTGAAAGAAATGTCACATTCTTTTCCCGCGCAATCGCATGCCACAGATAACGCACGTTTTTTTATTCGCGTTGACTGCACTGGTCAACGGTCAGCATGTAATGAAACCTTCGTTCATGATATGTTCCGTTTATATATTTCGCACAATGAGGCTTAGCGTGGATGACGTGTGAGAACTGGTTTTTTTAATTAATACACAACAATAGATTAGTGTTTTATAAAGAAAGACATGGTTTGGAGGATCAGTCAAGTTTTTGGGTTACCCGGATATGAATTGACCTAAGATAGAAGATGGATTTTGCTAATTATTCATTTGTTATTTCCTGTTGTAATACATAGAAAAAAACATTTTCGTTTTATTTATCATCATATTCAGCAATATATACGTGTATAAAAATTTGTAAATATTAAAAATCTTAACTGGAGGAGTTTTAATTTTTTTTTTTATAAACTATTATAATTCAATCGAAATTTCTAGAACAACCTTAATTACATTTACCAAACATGACTCGGGTTCTAAAGTCATGCTGACTAGTTAAAATAGCTAAACATTTTTATGATAAACTGATGCGCAAAATCACGGATTAAATTTATGACCATCAACAGTTTTTATAGCAATTTTTGCAATAAATATCCCGCACGGTACACGCAAAGGTTCATAAAAACTATGAAAATCAACGGACAATAATGTTTTTTAATTATGTATTTCCCAGTCTGGTTTTATTGTTATAGACTGAACGAATTAAATCTGTAAAATTTACGATAAATTTTATGACACACTGGAAATGCCCTTGATACGGAATTCTACTCAAAACTTTATTGAAAAATACACTTTTAAATTTTTTATATTCTTGAAATAAAAAGCAGTGTTGGCCTAGTGGCGTCAGCGTGCCTTTCTCATCCCTGAGGTCGTAGGTTCGATCCCCGTCTTTCTATGTGCGCATTTAACGGTGAAGGAAAACATCGTGAGGAAACCGCCTTGCAAACCAGGCACAGGAGGCTACTACTTCCCAATTATATTGACAAATAATTGTGAAACAGATACAGAAATATGAGGCCCAGACCTAAAAAGGTTGTAGGGCCACTTATTTATTTATTTTTTATTGTAAACGCTTTTAATGGTATAATTTAATGTACCAATTTGTACTCCGAAGACATTAAATTTAATTGCGTTTATTTTTAATTCAAAGATTTATTTCTAATGATTGATCAATTGACGTCATTATAAGTTATAACCAGTTATATTTCGATAGTAAAAAATTCATTTCATGCAGTTTTTCCTTTTAAAAGACTGTAAGTGATGATCTTGCCCTGCAGCATATGTCGCTGTATCACAGCGGGAAGGAGTTAGTATATTATACGCGTTGAATTAGCATATAATACGTTTAAAGAAAAAAGTGAGCAGTGATGGCCTAGTGGCTTGCGTGCGACTTGTCCCTGAGGTCATAGATTTAAACCACGGCTTTCCAATGGTCTTTCTGTCTTCGCATTCAACACGCGCTCGTATGGTGAAGGAAAAAGCCTACGGTGTCAAACACAGAGGGCTGATTACCTACTTGTCTAAAAAAAGCTTCTTTAGGCGCATGAGGGTAAAATTTTTACGGATACGTCACGGAGATGTGCTGCGTTTTTGTGAGATTGAGATCAATTGAGAGAGTGAGAAGGGCGAATTACCTCATAGAAATTCTAGTTTTAAAATTAAAATTTCGTAAAGCGAATTTATGAAATATTAGTATTCAATATTTTATGCAAAATAATTTATTGAAATCTCAAATCACGTATTGTAAATTAAAATGCCACGTGTTATTATCGAATAAATGTAATTAAAAAATTACATTCATTATTTGTATTAATTTTCGACACTTAATATTTTAATGACAATTAAATTCATTAAATTCCTAAAATACCTTCCCTTGTCTTGGAAATCTAAAGTTTTAGATTTGTATAAATATGAACAAGGCTCAAAAATTTGTTTGCCAAAGAAGTTTCACTTCTGAAATGTGTACTTTGTACGCACGCACTTTTTTAAAAATGTTAATTAACACTTATTTTAATTGCCATTTTGACAGACAGTTGTCTATTATAAGGTCAGTGACTTTAAAATCTATTTTTTTTTTTTTTTTAACTTTTTGGCAACAGCTTCAACTTTATGCCAGTTTCAAGTAAAAGGTTGGGAAACTACACGCGAAATAAAATAAACAAAGACATCAAAAGGAAATAAAGGGATAAGCTGGTTAAAAACAAAATATGTACAAAAACATATTACATCTTAATATTATTATAGATTATGAAAGAAGATAATACATTATAATACAATAAAGGATAAAGCAAAAGGCAGGAGATTTTAGTCGGAAACGGAACATGAAGTGATTGTAAAGAATTCAGAAAGGAGGTACGGTCATATTGGGAACAAGAAAAGAAAATATGGTCGAGGTCACCAATATCTTCTCCACACTCACAAATATTACTATCAACAATACGAAGCCTTGCTAAATGATGAGGTGTACAAACATGTCCTAAACGCATTCTGGAAATGATAGAAGTGACAGTTTTAGAACTTTTAACCTCAAAGAACCATGGTCTACTGGGGATCCTAGGTTGAATTTCAGCATAATGTTTGCCTTTGAACTTGCTGCTTCTCAACCAAACATCATTCCATGACTCCCAAAGATGGGTTTTCGGAAGAGCAGCTAAATCATGACAATAATTGATGTATGGGACTATGTCTCCATCCTTTATAGCTTCTTTAGCAAGCTCATCGGCTTTCTCGTTTCCTTTAATCCCACTGTGACTTGGAATCCATGCAAAGATAACGGTGTAATTTCTTTGAGAACATATTAAAAGCTTATCACGTATTTCGCAAATAATAGGATAACAAAATTTCATTTGGAAAGGAGATTTTTCAAGAGATTGTAGTGCACTTTTTGAGTCTGAAAATATGATTGTTCTTTTAGATTTTAATAAAATAACTAGTTCTAAAGCTTTTAAAAGAGCAAAACACTCTCCAGTAAAAACTGAGGATTCAGGAGGAAGTTTAATCTTTTGAATTATTTTATGTTGCCAATGAATTAGACCAACTCCAACACAATCATCAACAGAGATTTTAGAGGCATCTGTAAAAATATAATCCCAACCTTCCCAATTTTGTTCCTCAACGCTACTCATGAAACGAATATTTGTTTCCAGAATATCTTGCTTACAGACGCCTATATTATATCTTATATCCGGATCAAGAATTAAAGAATTGAATTGTGTCATAAATATGGGTAATGATGGAGATCGATGAATGCGGCTGTGTAATGTTAAAAATTGACGAAAGCTTATTATTAGACATGGTAATGATTTGTGACGCCAGTAACGGGATGTATGAATAATATTGTTCAATTCATGCAGTTTTCTATGTAGAGGGTGGTTAGAAAACTGCATAGATTTGAACAAGAATCGATCACTTAAAAATTGCCTTCTTAATTTTAAAGGAGGATCGCAGCATTCTACTTGTAAAGCATTGGATGGGCTTGATTTCATTACTCCTGTCACAATTCTCAAAGCTTTTGACTGAATGACATCAAGTTTTTGACTTCCCAAGACACTTCCTCCATCTAAGAGAAATGTGCCATAATCTAAAACAGATCTTATAAGAGCGTTATACACAAGTTTCATAGAAAACGGATGAGCACCCCACCATACACCTGAAAGGCATTTCATGATGTTAAGCAGCTGTGCACATTTCATAACAACATGTTCATAATGGGCAAGTCCAGACAATTTTGAATCCAATATAACTCCTAAAAATTTAATTTTTGTTTGGAGTGGCAAAGATTGACCATTGAAGGTCACATTTATTATAGGAGTTGTGCGTTTTTTGGAAAATACGACTATAGAACTTTTTGGAAACTGATAGATCTAGGTCATTTTTAACTAACCAGATATTAAGACAATTAAGTGAACTAGACATGGAATTGCAAGCCTTAACCACAGATTTATCAACGGAATAAAAAAGAAGATCATCTGCATATTGTAGCACATTTATATGGGAATTTATAGATAATTCTAAATCATACGTGTAAATATTATATAAAAGTGGGCTTAGTACCGAACCTTGGGGAAGGCCTTTAAAAACTGTACGCTTTAACTCGGTAATATTACCATCTTTCTGAACGATTAATGATATGTATCTGCAGGATAGTAAATTGATGATAAAATGTATTAATAACGTAGGAACCTGTAGCTCTAATAATTTGTGTTGTAGAATAGAAATGTTCACATTATCATAGGCGGCAGAGATGTCCAAAAAGGCAGCTACAATATCTTCATCACGCGAAAAAGCTATGCGAATATCTGTGGTTAATATAGCTAAATTGTCTATTGTAGATTTTGACTTCCGAAAACCGTATTGACTATTGGCTATTAAATTATTGTTTTCTATAAACCATTCCAAACGATTCTTCACAAGATGTTCAGCAATTTTAGTTAAAACGGAGGACAACGCAATAGGCCTATATGAGGCAACATCATTAGTAGGTTTGTTAGGTTTTTTAATCGCTATAACTTCTTGAGACTTCCATGTTTCAGGAATATTACCTGTGACCATGACGGAGTTTATTAAATTTAAAAAAATACATTAAGGCAGTATCACCAAGATGAGATAAAAATGAGTACATAATACCATCCTGACCAGGAGATGAATCCTTAACATGTGAAAGCACACCTTTCAATTCATGTAATGAAAAAGGAGAGTTTAAAGAGGAAGAGTCATCTGTCAAAGACGATTCCAAAGGAAAGTAGATCGATTCAGCAGCTGATGGAGGAGCTAATCTGTCTAAAAAGGC